CCTGGATTTTTTCATCCTGGTAAAAAGAAATTCCAACACAATTAATGACCATATCAAATCTCAGCTATAAGTGCCAGTGTGTGCTAGGACATTATGCTTGCTTCAAAAATCTTTTCATTGTTCCAAAGATTGTGGACGTTACTAAAATCCCATGACAAGAAAGACAGGTACCATCCAGCCCTGTAATTTCCATGCATAAGATAACAAGAGCCATATTAGGACTTCCAGAGCGAACCCACTGTGAAATTCCAGTGATGCCATGATGCTGGCAACGCAAGCTAACAAGCTTGCAAGAACTTTAACTTGCACAGGTCCTTAAAGTAACACAAGACTATTTAAACTGAAAGAAAGGATCTTTCTGGTTTCAGAGTATAACAAATGTCTTTTGGCTTAACTGAAATATGACCATCTCAAGAACTTAAAATTGCATCACCCCTTGAAGCAAAATGAGACCTTTTAAAAATGAAGGCATCGTGGTTTCAGAGTAACAGAATTGCCTTTTGTCTTAACTGAAATATGACCATCTTAAGAAGTTTTACCTAATTTGATTTGTTCTACAAATTATGTTCTAGAAAAGAACATCAACAACAATATCAAATATTCAATCAAACACCAAAAGGGAAGTATAACACTAAAATAAACGAAAACATACAAATGCCCATGTCTAATACTAATTTGAGTTAGGTTCCATCAATGGCATACGATCTCAAATAATGAAAGCTCCAAAAATTCTACTAAAAGAAGGAAATTGAAGCTACTGGAACTCAAACCGACTCGGAGGCCTTACGATGTAGGAGAGAGCATCGGGGTCGATTGAGGGGTCGTCCTCCTGACCGGAGCACGCCTCGCCTTCCTCGAGCTCGTTATCCTCGTCCATCCCCCCTCCCCCGAACCCTAACCCCTGTCTGCCATCCTCCCTTCGTCCCACCGACAGCATCCAATCCCCCGCCCTCTCCCTTCCTCCTCTCTCCTTCCGTCCCTCTCTTCCCCACCTAACACCAAAATCCAACAGAGGAGAACCCGAAACCCTCGAATCCCCTTCCTCCCACCTCCTATCGAAGCTCGGGACACCCGCTTCCGGGGTCCAAACCCTAGAATCCCTCCCCAACGAGGGCGGCTGCCGAATCCAGCGGCGATCCACGTCCTAGCGTACCACGGCGGGGCGGTCTCCGAGATCGGGAATAGAGACGTGGATCGAAACTTCAGAAAGCGAGATCGGAAACGGCGATCGCCACGAACGCCTGCGTGGGGTTCCTTCCGATCTTGCTCTTTCTTTCAGAGAGGTGTTCTTCTCTGGAGAGGGAGAGAGAGAGAGAGAGAGAGAGAGGAAGGAAAATAATTAATTAATTAACTATAACAATAATTGTCTTTCTTATATTAATATCAAAAAATTCGATAGACGGCGTTTGTGACAACGGAAGACACCGAATCGTGGGACAGAATGATCCTTTGCGTTTTTGCATAAAAACCCCTCTTCATAACTATTTTCTTATTTCTAACCATTATATCTGAAGTATTTTCCTTTAAATATATGTTACTACGACTAAAAAAGATTAGATTTGGTTTATGTAAGGGTGAGTATCGACTGCTAGATTTGACTTAACCAATATACAATGACAGCTATTAGAACTATAGTAACAGCGATTGAAGTAAATAAAGAGACATTTTGCATCATATTTAGTAAGCTGCATTATTACGCTTGTGATGATGAATATGACCAAAAGCAATTTAGTGCTCTGATTTATTCTTTTTATAATAAGGTCAAATTTTAATTACGAAAGGACAAAGCGCAATTAATTAAAGGGGCTTTTGTGCATTTCTAGTTCTTAAAAGGGTTAATATGCAAACGTGAATTTTTCTGCAGGATTTTAACGGCTGTCAAATTCTAATCTCGTTTCTTCATTTACCGCCATGCCTTCTGTTGACGCGTGTTCTCGACACACAGTGGGACCCGAACAGTCTTTAGAAATAAGTCGCCACGTGATATTTCAGGCTGTACGGTGCAATCGAAACAGACTGCCGAATGGCTCGGTCTATTTACGGGCCTCCCGCGGTCCGAGTGATTAGGCCGCGCCGCCCCTTGGTCGCATGACGCGTGGGCCTAACGATTCGCGACCGTCCAGTTTGGCGGGCGCGGCCTGCTGCTTCGCGGCAAGAGACCTACGCGGCAAGTCGCGTGGCAGTCCTCCGTTGTCTGTCACCCACGTGGTCACCTTAGTTTTTTAGGTGTCAACGAATTAGAGGCCAGCCACACCAAGACGGTATCTGAGCTAAAGCAGCGGATTAAGCCACCGCACTGAATGAACAGTGAAATTACCATTGCGTCCTAAAAACGAACGGACAACATGAAGAATTCATTTGCTGTTAGGGGTAAGGAAGTATTTTCGTAATATATTTCTGTGGTTGGGCGGTGGTTTGGTTGGAATTCGGCTGTCGGCAGGGACGCGGTGCAGAGTAGACTCGACACGACTCCTCGTGTCGGAAACAATCCACTGGGTTCAGCTGAGACACCAGGTAATTTTACTGACCTGTACTTCATTGAAACGTAAGGAGGTGTCCACGTGGCTGATAGACAGGGAAGAGAAACGCCGATGCGATGGTGTACGGTGGTTTGTCAACCGCAAGTAAAGGTATAACGGCGCCACCCATTCCGGACTTCTTATGAAACTACTAATAATCAAACAAAAAATAATTACTATCAAAAACTAATCATTTACATCTTCTCATACAATATTCAAATATTTTTAATTTTTATTATTTTAAAATGTAAATATAGTAATTAAAAATAATGAACTATTTAATTAGGGTTTTCAAGGACTATTTTATATTTCCACATAAATAAATAATATTTATATTTGTTTTCTTTAACCTTTATTATCTTTCAAAATAATGATATTAGTGGCAGCAAGTAGTAAACATAATTATTAAGGATGGTACATGAAAGAAATTAAGGAAAGAATCAAAAGCATGAAACAAGTTCCACAGTATTAATTAAAATATAAGGGAGGACATGCAGACACCTCTCTCTCCGAGTACAGTCACCCAAATAAATATTTAATCCTTCTAGTGATGAATTAGAGGAGGAAATGAATTGCTAATCTTTGATCGGACTGAAAAGACTTGTCAACAGGACAAACATGATAAGATCAGATAAGCTCATAATGCACAATAGAACAGAAACTGCATGAATTTTCTATTAGGAGCATCTACCAGTAGGTCCTGTTTTATGATAGTAGAAACAAATTGAGTGGGTCCCTTGACACGATGAAACATACAAGTAGCTGACTTGCCGATACAATGTATCACATAATGAAATATACATGTGGCTGACTGGAGGCATATACAAACCATGGCATACTTGCAAATGGTTAGGTTTGGATGATATGTAGTTGATATCGTCACTAAATGGCAATTAGCTTAAATAGTAGCATGCTGGGTTTTGATTGTAATTTATCTTAATTATCTAATTATATATATAGATGATTTGGTCATATCAAATGAACAATAAAGATTAAAAATAAAAATAAATCATTTTAAAAATATAATTTATAGCTTTCTTATATCTTAGGACTAATTACATATTATCATTCGAACATGATATTTATATTAAAAAATTTATATTGAGATATTTATAATTTTAAAAATAAAATAAATAATCACATTTGTTTTAACACCGTCAATTATATTGATGAAAAACATGAATCAAGGTAAAAGTGATTGGTAAAAGTATAATTTTAATATAATTTTTATTTTTAATAATTTTATCATCAAAAAATAATTTAAAATAAAATTAATATTGAAATTGTTTTTTTTATCTTTTTGGTATGTTGTATTTTTCGTCAATATAATTGATAATATTAAGATAAATAGAATTATTTATTTTATTACAGCAATCGTGATGTTAATAAGATTCAGGTATAAAAGTTAATATATAATTAGCCTATGCAATTTTATATAGGAAAGTCAACATTTGGTCAAATCAAATGACAGTACTTATCATTGGTGTTTGGTAAGTAAGGACTATTCTTGATGTAGACCACTCTTGGGATCCTGGCCGTCCGATGCACCTTTCGTGAATCAATGCAGTGATCACCGTGCCCATACGAAAGTGGACGTCTGCACGCTCCGACGCAATTGGATGCACCCAAACCTCCAATCGATGCATGGGCGCACACAGTTGCAGCAGCCAATAATAGGCAAAATGTTCCCTATTTATGTGAGATCACGTAATATGTTCTCCCTCACATTATGGTGACATCAAATGCCATGTATTTGACATCCAATTTGACTCGATTTCGACTGAAAATTGACTAATGTAATATATTTACGATTATTGATCGATTAACAATATTTTCTAACTAATGTAATATATTTATTAAATATAGAGGAGCGAATCAACTACTAATGTAATATATTTATTATATATATAATTTTTCAGATGATATCAGAGCAGAATTGTATATTAAATAATATTTTAAATGTGATACAAATGATTTGGGTAGAGAGAGAGAGAGAGAGAGAGAGAGAGAGAGAGAGAGAGCAATAAACCTACCACAGAAACATTCTGTATGGCTGCAACATATAAAAAATGCTCATTGTCACCATTACTGACAGCGAGGAGCGCACGCGCAGTCTTCGTCTTCCTACTCACGTCAGCTGATACTTTACTTTCAGTAGAAAACAAGTGTCCTTTTTCGTTTCATGGACGACATCTGCACGAATCTTGATGCATTCCGTCGTGTTCATCTTCATATATATATATATATAATTAGATTTCGTATGGTTTATAAATATTAGGGAAAATATTAAGAATTATTTACAGCAATTTTAACGTCACGATAGGTTTTGTTTTAGGTACGAACAACCGGCACAGACGATTGCCAACGTCACAAAACTGACGAGATCTCATCCGTCCAATTGCGTGACCGATGACGACATCGACGGCCCCTAAAGCTTATAATACAACTCCCCCTCGCCGTCGTCTTGGCACTGCAGGCGCGATAGTGGGGGTGATGCTTCGCTTATTTTAGTGGCGGTGATCCGATCCGTTCTCACCCCTATCGCCCAAATCCCCTCGAAGTTTCATCGTTTTGGCCTCCCTTTTCGTTCTCTTTTTCCTTGAATTCGCTTCGAGAGTTTGAGTTGGGAACGGAGATGTCGCTTCGTTCGGTTTGATCTCGATATCGAAGGTGAAACAGTTGCGGTGCGATGGATCGAGAGAGAGGGCCGACGTCCGACGACCAGCGGGTGGGCAGCCGAGGGGTCATGATTAGTTTTTGCTGTCCATTTTGATCTTTTACGCGATTGTTTCGATTTTGTTGCTTTTTAGTTCTTGTTGTTTATGCTTATATGTCGCCTCTTCTTATTCTTCTACTTCTTCTTCTTCTTCTTCTTCTTCTTTCGATATTTGTTTGGGTGAGGGAATGGGATGTCGAGTTGTGGAATGAAGCTTATCTAATCGAGATGCAGTAGTTTTATTTGGATCAGCTGGCAAATAGTTAAGATCTGGTATTGTGAAGACCTGGAGGATTGATTGAGATATAGGTCGTATACTGTCAAGGACACTACTGTCCAGAATTTTAGTCACGATCTGTGATAAAGATGATGCTTTCTAAATTTTGTGCAATGGGAAACAGTTTGGATTGGGGGTTGGATTCAGGGTTACAGTTTCTGAAAAAGGGAGAGTTTTAGTACGCTTGTTTGTTGCTTAACAGGAAGAAATCTGTCAAATATAAACTTCTTGCAGATCATAAATTATAAGCTGGTCTCAATGTTCATGACATGTTATGTACTTGCATGTGCTTCTGACTTTGTACAATTATAGATGAGAAGGCATAGAAAATACTAGAAGGATAAGAAATTCCAATTTGATTGTGACCTTAATTTGGTTTTTTTATTTTATTTTTTAAGAAAAAAATATAGTAACTTCAACATTTGGTGAGCAGAAAACCCAGAAATCTTCAGGTGTTAGAGTGAAGTATTATATAAGCAAGCATCCAACCACAACTCGATGTACATATGGATATTTATTTCTTATTTTTTCTGGCAGAAATAATGTTCTAGTTAAGAATATTTAGCTTTTTGCATATACCCACCACTGCAACAAGAGATTACTGGATCTGCTCTTTTATCTGTTGCTTGCGAGACACATGCGTTGAATAATTGTAAACTTCCCATTTAAGCTGTTGACTTAATGCTATTATTTAAGTTGGCAAGTATTTGGTCATTATGGGACTGATCAGCTCCCAAGTTTTTATTTGCATGTTCTTACTAGCTCTGGGTAGGTCAGATGTCTCATAGTCTGCAATTTATCTTCTTTCAAACCATTGCATTTTGCTCCTTGATCTTGCAGGTTCATTGGAAGAATTACTATAAGAACTTGTTACTTTTAGCATATCAAAGTTTTGGTGTAGTGTATGGTGACCTGAGTACATCTCCTCTTTATGTTTACAAAAGTTCATTTTCGGGGAAAATGTACAAATATCAAAATGAGCAGACGGTATTTGGTCTGTTTTCCTTGATATTCTGGACATTAACTCTGATCCCATTGCTGAAGTATGTTGTCATTGTCTTGAGCGCTGATGATAATGGTGAAGGTATGACTGGAATATTTCTATTCCCTTCTTTTTCTTTGGACCTGTATTGAAAAGTTTTGAAATTGTTTGCAGGTGGAACATTTGCTTTGTATTCCCTACTCTGCAGACATGCCAAATTGAGTTTGCTTCCTAATCAGCAAGCAGCTGATGAGGAGCTCTCCACTTATTACCGAAATGGCCCCCGAAGTGTGATTACTTCTCCACTGAAAAGATTTCTTGAGAGGCATAAAAAGCTGAGAACTTGTTTACTTCTTATAGTGCTGTTTGGTGCCTGCATGGTGATAGGTGATGGTGTCCTTACACCAGCAATTTCTGGTACATCGTTTATAATGTCTATTTTAATTGTTAGTACATGATGAATTTTATCTGTTACTTCTCTTTTGTATAAGCAATGACAATTTTCTTTTATTGATCACTTTGCAGTTTTATCATCTATTTCTGGGTTACAAGTTCGTGCCAAGGAACTACATGATGGTAGGCTTTGGTTGCTCACAGAATTTTTCATCATACCGTTGACAAAGTTTGCTGACTCTGCATTTACAATCTCTTTCCAGTAATGGATTCTTTCCATTCTAGATTTGGGCATTTAATTTTCATCACATTCCAACACAAACCAGCGTAATTTATCATTGTATATAATCTAGAGTGCAACTTTTAGATCTAGCACACTGTTGGAGTTATAGGGGATGCTATTTTGAAGGAAGTGTCCTTATACCAGTTTGTTAAGTGGTCCTCAGTAGCAAGTTGTAAGAAATTGTATTCTTAAGTGATGATCAGAAACAGCTTGTTGAACATAGTCTCAATCATCTCAGAAGATGTTTGTAGTAGACAACCCAGAATATCTGATAGTTGGATAATAAGGAGATTAACATGTGCATTGTGCATCAAGATGCTTCATTTTGTAGTGTTGTCTTAGAAAAAAATTATGGTTCAATATCTTTGGTGTTATATTCATCTAAAAAGTAAAATGGCATTGATAGATTAATGATAGTCCAATTTTGTGTAGTTTTCTGACTTAGGCCCATACAGTATACGTGTTCACTCTTTTGGAGTAACCTTTCTAATTCAAGTTTTTGAAACAATTTGTATCTAGAATTATAGTTGATATTCAAAATCTGGTTTATGAGTTCAATAAATGCTTTTACTTATCTTTCTAAAGATGTTTTTGGCATTTCTTGATTCTCTTAGCCTGTGGTTTTCATGTCTTCGAGTGTTATCATGCTAACTTTATTACTTATGTGCATTAGGTTTAATAACATTAAGCATCATGGATGGATTTATAGTTGCTTCCTAAAAGAATTCTTTTTTTTTTTGAACTGGGAGGTCAGAATGGTCACAAAATAATGGTACTTGATTGAGAACAAAAATTCATTTCTGATACATACTGCTCAAGGGCTTTGCATGTTTTAGCATTATCCTGAGCAAGTCACAGTATTGATTGTCACAACAAGGCCCCCATTGAAAGTACTTAGAAGATGCTCTTTAAAGGTGGGTAATGACTCGTATACCAATGAAGGCCATAGCCCACACAGTGTGGGTCTAATTGGTTCTCTGATAATCTGTCAAAAACCAAACCTCATGGGTCAAGCGTTCTAAAAACATTCAGGAGATGCTCTTTGGAGGTAAGTATTGTATCATATACCAGTCAAAGCCATGGCAGACACTCTATATTGAACTAATCAGGGTAGCAAGCTTTTCTTAAAGTTGCTTTTCCAAATGTCAATAAAGCTCCTTAGTTTGACCCTAAAGATAATTATTTAATATTTTTAATTACAATTTTTAGTCTTTTTTTAAATGTCTCATAATTATTAGCTTCTATACAGGTGAGGTGGTACTGGTTGCTTGCCTTGTGCTAGTTGGCCTTTTTTCCTTGCAGCATAGAGGTACTCAGAGGGTAGCGTTCATGTTTGCACCTATTGTTATTATTTGGCTTTTGTGCATTGGTGTAATCGGTTTGTACAATACCATTCACTGGAACCCCAAGATATATCATGCTCTTTCTCCACTCTACGTCATTAAGTTCTTCCAGCAAACAGGCAAGGATGGTTGGATTTCTCTGGGGGGTGTTCTCCTTTCTATCACAGGTAAATTACAGTGTGTAACTTCAGCACTTAGATCATCAAAGCTTCTATTCTTTTGCCATAATAGCATCATAATTCATACACCTAAGTTTTCATGTTTGCAGGTACTGAAGCTATGTTTGCAGATCTTGGCCACTTCACTCAAGCATCTATAAGGGTATGATAAACATAATATTCATTTTTCAGAGTTTTGATAGGTATTCAAAGATAATATTTATTCAAGTACAAGAGTTGCAGTTATAGATTAATTCCATCAATAATTTAGCAACTGAACTGACTGAATTTTGTCTCTTCTTATTTTTTAAATTGATTAAGTTTATTTGTGGCAATCTTACTTTGTAGATTAGTTGATGTAATTGGGTTTTTAGTTTGCACCTGGTGAATAGGAAGATTAATTTAAAGATATTAAAGAGTCATAATTGCTTTAGATTTCAAGAAATGGGATACTATTGATTTGAATTAGTGAAGATGATAAAAGCAGGAAAATCTCTGAACTTATTTGGTTGGGAATTTCTTTGCATTGTCTGTTTGGTTAGTATAACCATTTAGAGGGCTGTTGCTATGTTCACTGACTAACTGTAAGATCATTTTTATTTTCCTCACCTGCGAACTTCTGATTTCATTTTGGCTTTTTTAGGCCGTCTTGAATTACATCACTTAAGCAACTGCACCTTCTTGGCTGTGCAGAAACAAACTTGGTAGATGCTCATGTTGCAAATTGTAGTCCTCACAAAAAAAGAACTTACAGAAACATTAAGCTTGCCACTCCACATTAAAGATTGACTGCGCAAATTAACTCGAGAAATATCCAAAGATGATCATCTTGATTTTTAAGGTTTTAACAAATTATCTATTATTTCCATGTTATTTATCCCATACTCGGGCATGTGGAAAAGTTGGGAAATTCTGATCTTGATTATTTTGAGTGGCAAATTCTATATGTATAGATGGATATTTGGGCAGTTGCAATCTGGAAATTAACAGACTTGTGTAAGCATGTTTTATTACACAAATGTCCAGCAGAGTCTTGTGTTTTATGTGCTTGTAAAAATTGCAGCTAATCATTCATTTGTGGCTTTTAATTTAAATTGTATACGGTGAACTCGTATCATGATATGATGAACCTTTGGCTAACTCTTCTATTGTTCAGGTGGCATTTGTCGGTGTTATATACCCTTGTCTAGTACTACAATATATGGGACAGGCAGCATTTCTTTCTAAGAACTTCAATAACATATCTACCAGCTTTTATGCATCTATACCACGTAAGTAAGTGTATAGCTCAAGAACATTGTCTCAATAGAATTCGTGCTTGACTGGTCCTCCTCTCTTCTTTTTTTGTTCCTTTTTTGTTGCAGAACCTTTTTTTTGGCCAGTTTTTGTGGTGTCCACTCTTGCTGCTATAGTTGCTAGTCAAGCTGTTATCTCAGCGACATTCTCAATTGTCAAACAATGTCTTGCTTTGGGTTGCTTCCCACGTGTCAAGGTTGTCCATACATCAAGATGGATTTATGGCCGGATATACATACCTGAAATTAATTGGATCCTCATGGTACTTTGTCTTGCTGTGACAATTGGATTCCGCGACACAACCCTTATCGGAAATGCTTATGGTAAGCCAACTATTCCCATTGCCAAGCATTACAAAGTGTTAAAAACAGTTTTTTTTTTCTTCATATTATATCAAAATTTGTTTTCTGTTGAGACTTATGGTATTCATGCTTTTGCATCATCTCATGTTCATTTTTTTTACTTTTAACTTATTAACGAGGGTGAACCTTGCTCCAGTGCCCATGATTCAATTTTAAAAATCAACTTTTTTGCTTGTAAGGGCAAGGTGGTGTATACTCTCTATGGTCCCCCATATTGTCATTAGCAGTAATTGTTTATTCAGGGATTCTAAGATTTATCTGCCTTATATTCATGATGAAGTTTTGATTGGAGGTATGACTATAGCTAATTAGGTCTACTGATTTTATGATTTCAGGTATAGCGTGCATGACTGTCATGTTTGTGACAACATGGTTAATAGCTCTTGTCATGGTACTTGTGTGGCAAAAGAACATCATCTTCTCACTGTTGCTTCTTTTGTTTTTTGGAAGTATTGAGGCGGTCTATCTCTCCTCTTCACTTATGAAAGTCCCCCAGGGAGGTTGGGCACCTTTGGTTCTCTCCTTTGTCTTCATGGTCGTCATGTATGTGTGGCACTATGGCACAAGAAGGAAATATCTCTTTGACTTGCAAAACAAGGTCTCAATGAAATGGATCCTCACACTTGGCCCCAGCCTCGGAATTGTTCGTGTCCCTGGAATTGGACTCATCTACACAGAATTGGTTACTGGAGTACCAGCTATCTTCTCCCATTTCATAACCAACCTCCCTGCTTTCCATCAAGTTCTAGTCTTTGTTTGCGTGAAGTCAGTTCCAGTCCCATTTGTTCCACCAGATGAACGATACCTCATTGGTCGGATTGGTCCCAGAGCCTATAGAATGTACAGATGCATTGTTAGATATGGCTACAAAGATGTACAAAAAGATGAAAATTTTGAGAACCTACTGGCATTGAGCATTGCCAAGTTCATTCAGATGGAAGCCGAGGAAGCATCCTCTGGGAGTTATGACACATCGCCGGAAGGAAGAATGGCTGTTATCCGAACTTCTGATACGACTGGCACAACATTGGTGATGAGGGATGCTGATCAGCTTGCAGGTGAGTCTACCATGATCAGGAGCAGCAAATCAGAAACACTTCAAAGCTTGCAGTCACTATACGAACAAGAATCACCGAGTGTGAGCCGCCGGCGCCGTGTCCGCTTCGAGCTGCCTGAAACAGAGTACATTGACCCTCAGGTGAAGGAGGAGCTACTAGCACTGGTGGAGGCTAAACAAGCAGGAGTTGCCTACATATTGGGACACTCTTATATAAAGGCAAGGAAGACTTCATCATTCATGAAGAAGTTTATCATCAATGTCGCCTACTCTTTCCTACGAAAGAATTGCAGGGGCCCTGCAGTGGCTTTAAGCATACCTCACATCAGCCTTATCGAAGTTGGGATGATCTATTATGTGTAATCTGTTCTTATTGCCAAACGTTTTTTATGGCACCTGAGAGACATGGTAGGTATGTTTGCAGTGGTAGCAGATGCCAAGGTCAAATGGTCACTGCAATGTTAGAAGGATTAGATGTTACATGGGTCCATAGCTCAACATTGCCTGTGCATAAAGCTTTATATGACTCTGTTTGAACAGGTGATGGGAGTTGGTAAGAGCACAATACATGTGGGTGTCTTTTGTAGTGGCATCACTAATCCTAGAAAGAGCTACCAGATTTGATAATTATTTGACTTCACTGAGATTATAAATCAGCTCAAATATTTGAGATTTTCTTAGGACTGATTGTGTCTTAATTTTCACATGGAGAAATCTCTATTTAGTTTGGTAGTCTTATATTTACAAATAGAAATTAGATTTTTAGGCTGTCTAAATTTTTTAACCTATCATATCCCATCATTAAAAAGTCGATTTGACAATTTTCTATAAATTTTAAAATTATTTTATAAATATAATTGACATATATGGTGACGATCTTATGAGTAAAATAGGCTGAAATAATAATAATAATAATAATTATTATTATTATTATTATTGCCTCCGGCCAATTTGAGCTCCAATTGAGTGGCCACCGGTTCGGATAAGGAGCAGATTGCGGTGCCCGCCTCTTCCACCCGTAATGCCACCAATTTGATGGAGGGGAAGCAAACCCTAGCTGAAGTCAGCATCAGCATTTCTTCCACCATTACGATCGCTGCCAATGGCCACGACGATTGCTGCTGTAACGACTACGGCGACTAGGGCTGTCGTGCCGCTGCCATGCAAGAATGTGTCAACCGCGCCCGGTGCGGCTGTCACTCTAGGGAGGCGGGAAGGCCTCGTCGCTTGCTTCGCCGCCCTCACTCTCTCCCTCGCCAGGCCCGCCTCCGCCGCCATCTTGGAGGCGGACGACGACGAGGAGCTCCTGGAGAGGGTGAAGAAGGACCGGAAGAAGAGGCTCGAGAGACAGGGCGTCATCATCTCCTCCGACAAGGAAAAAGGTGAGCTTTCTTCTCCATGTCCACTTCAACCTCTTCGGAGGATCTAGCGACGTCTTAAATCGTATGTGGTATTTTTGTTGCGCTGGTTTTGATCCACTGTCGCTGATGAAATGGTTTGTGTGATGTATGCTAATTCTAGGTGGCTGTACCACCACATTCATGATTCTAGTTCAAAGATGCAACAATTTTGGAAATTGCATTGCAATCTTGAACGTCTGGTTTGTCGAATTTGGGTTTTTTTTGTTGTTGCAATAATCTACCATTATTTGAAATGTCATTACTGGTCAAGATATTGATTAACTTCTTTTTCAAAGGAAACAAAGATTGGTTAGTATCAAAAAGCGCAAAATGGTTAGTAATTTAGTTCAATGGGGGTCAAAAAGGCCATTGTGCTTCATATGCAGTTATAGCATGAAGCTTGTCTCATATAGATATGAATCTTGTTTATGATGATTGATCCACAGAGGTGAGTTAATCTTTAAGTAGTAGGTCAAATTGATGTTCTCTATTATTCATTTCGTACTTCTGTATTTGGCATTGTTTGGCAATGTAAGTTGTAATTACCTCCGCGGAAAGTCATTACCAGGGGGAGATGAATTTTCTCCACAGTTTGGATACAAATGCCCAGTTCAAGAATGGGCTTCTTAAGGATCTGCTGATCTAGTAAACTTCTGTATAAATTAGATCATCCTAAGTTCACTCGATTAGGTTCTATTTATTAGTGAATCATATTTTTTCTTTTTTTTATTGACCTGGTATATGTATGTTTTCCACTCTATTAATCTCTTTGAAAAGCTTTATTTTGACATGGATACTTTCTGGGTATTGGTCAGATCTTCTGTTGGTTATATTGAATTAAATTGATATCAAGCACACAAAATAATATGAAAGAAAGATCCCAAAAATTATGGAAGAAAGATCTAGAATGGTCCGCTGTAATATTTTCTTTCTTGGTTAGCTCAAGAATTTCCTAAGATGCACATGATGCATAAAATATCCATAATCATCTACTTATTTTCTCTGCTTTCTTGATACCTGATTCGAGAGTTGTGCTTTGGAAAGTTTGCAATATATATTTTCCATTATAAAGTACTAGGAAAGAGTGAATGCTAATTCTTTTAGCTGACAAGTTCCTAGCAATTTACAGGTTATCTGCAAGAACTAATCTACAAGTTGAGCAAAGTGGGCCAAGCTATCGAGAATAATGATCTTGCTGCAGCAAGTTCTCTCCTAGGGCCAAACACTAATGCTGACTGGGTGCAAAATGTAAATGCAGCTTTTGCTAAGGTTGTCACTTGAGATGCAATCAGTATTATGCATTCTGAGTCTTTATTTGAACATCCTGCTTGCTTTAATCTCACCATTCTATTGGTTTGGGCTGCTTGGCAGCTAAGCACGAGCCCTGAAGAGAAAATTGAGGTGGACAATTTCAATTCTTCCTTGGCATCTTTGTTTTCGTCGGGTCAGTTAATGCAGCCTTATACTAACTTCACCCTGTCCAAATATCTTTCTTCATCTGCTACTTAATCAAGCCTCTATGTACGCTCTTCTTGCAGTAGGTGATCGGGACGTCGAGTATTCCAAATTGGCCTTTGTATCATCGGCAAGCGCGTTGGAGAAATGGATTGGATTTGCTGGCTTAGTTGGTCAGTTGAAAGGTCTCTAATCGAACGAATTCACCATAAAATGCAAGAGATGCTTCATCCAACTTCCTCGAACTTGTGTTTGTCATGCTTCTGAAGACTTTGAGTTGCACTTCAGCCTCTGAGTTCTCCACCTGACTATTCTATTTGACGTTATATTTAGCCATTGTTTGTTCTTTTGATAATGTCTAGTTATATATTTCTCCAATTCTGTTTATGTTGTTCATATTTAAGTGTCTCGAACATGCATTACAGTAATCATTTGATAAGTAAATTATTAGGCTTTCTTTCTTTTTTTTCCTGTGTTTTTTCTGTTCCTTTTAGTATCTTGGTCTGAATAATCTTTCTACACCATCAATAAGCTATGTATGACAGCTTGACCAAAATATATGAATGTAAGTTTTTGAGTTCCAATCATGATATAATTTCTATATTAAGGGAATTATGAGAACATTTATATTGGAATTTTTGCCATGACCTAAAGAAGCAACTCTATGATCTGATTCTTACTACCCACTATAATATTTTTTTCACTAAAATAGAAATTTGCTCATGCAATTTCAGTATGGGAATACAATGTAGAATCACAAAAGTAAACTGAGCTAAATGTTTACCCCAACAATTGTTAGGCATCCAATACATTTTTGCAAAATTTGTAAGTGACTGCATCTCTATTAGAAGTCTGATGTTACGTTCACATTCCTAGGAACAACACTCGATCATGTCCCTTATCTCAGGTCTAATGTATGAATCCTTGTCATATCATTCATGTGTTCATCAGAGAAATAATAGTGTTTCTTAAGATACATAGATTTTAAAGAACCATCACATTCTAATATGACACAGAAAATAACAAAATCTTGGACCGATAGGAAAGTATGGTTTTCCGTCACACCACACGCAAACTGAAGTGTTTGTCGTTGATGATTCTGCATCAGATTGGACGACGAGGGTTTTGGCACCACTTGTTATGTGGATAACTTGTACGCCTGAACCAAATCACCAAACTCGATGATCAAAATGCCAACCATGAAGAGAGAAGCAACCCTAATGCGGACGACCAAATTTGCTGTGCAAAATGCCGTGGATGCATCACGAACAGTTCCCTACCGAGTCCTACCTCGAATTGCGCGAGTGAGATGCCACCGACACGTCCACCTCCCCACATGGAGGAAGAGGAGAAGTCGCACTTGTCTTCCCCTCCTTCTCACCGGCCATTCACGTAATTTTTCGTCTCGGCAAGAACAGTAAGTTGTTCGATCTGGGAATCGATCTTTCCGTACACTTGGCTGGAATGGGACTCCTTGGTGGACCGAGTAAGGAGGAGAACGAATCGGTCAACCTGCGCCGCTTCCGTCGGAGCACCCGCGCGCCCCGTTCCGCGCCATCCTGCGGGTTCTCCCCACCGGCTGCCCTACCGGATCATACGAACCCGCGCGTCCGATTGGCATCGGTTGGATATCGCTGTACGGTGTTGAGAGCCATCAGGCTTCCTGAAGCTCCCGCTTCCCCTATCCTCAGCGCTAATACCCATAAAGTTGAAGAGAATCACCAGAAAGCCCCGCCACTTTCCATAGAGAAGGGGACTTCGCGGTGGGGGCATATGCGACATTTGGCATAACGAAAACGGGATTTGTGGATGAGGAAGACGAACCCACAGAAATTTGGAACATTGAGCACCGAGGTTCCGTTTATTTTGCGGCTGTAGATGAGCGTGAAGACGTGGCACGACCTTTTCGGCCTGCATTCTAATCTTCGCCTCCCTCTCCCCTATATAAGTGCCTCCCTCCTCCCTTCTGAAATCAAACCATCCCCAAATCCCAGCAGAAGCAGCTCAATCGACCGACTCCTCCTCCTCCTCCTCCTCCTCCTCTTGTTCTTCTCATTCTAATATAATTATCGCTTTTGGTGTGTACATCTTCTATAATTTGAGAGGATGGAGGCAGGATTGATGGCGAAACAAGCAGCAGCGGTTGCGAAGCCGAACGCGTTCCCCGCCCGGAGCCTAGGGTTCGGGAACTCGGTCAGGGGCGGATCCGGAACCAGCAGGATCGGGTTCGAGGCGCCGTCGAGCGTGGCATGGAGGAAGCGGTCGATTCAGGTGGCCCGCGAAGGAGCCATTCGGTCCGAGGTGGTCGTGGAAGAGAAAGCATCGCCGCCCAGAAAGGATAAGGTATATGCAGCTAAAATCCTTGTTTTGATCTTTCTGGCTGGCAATTGCGACTCTGTTTCTACACAACCATAAGACTTCATATTTATCGCTTGGTGTTTGAGGTAGATCTGTTTTTTTTTTTTTGTTAATATTATATAAATTTTTAAGAATTAAATTACATTTTTTTTCCTGTCCAATTTTTTGGTCAAAAATATCATATTCTAATTATTTTGAGAGATAAATTATGCTATAAAATGCAAATTACATGTGCAGTTTCTGCTTTGTGATTTGATCAAGATCTGACCTTTTCTGAAGCTGGTTGTGGTTTCTTTTATGTATGATATTAATAATATTCAATTTTGTTTAATGTTTTTGTGTTTTTCTGCGAAAATATCGTATTTGAAGTGTTTATGGGTTACGTGTGCAATTTCTATTTCTACGGTGATGTGTGTCCTTATCATGATAAATGAAAGAAACGAACGGTTCGGATTATTCTCATTGTTTTTAAATGTAATTAATGGTGTGGTTTAATTTTTGGTTCAGGCCGGTCCGGGTCGGCTCTACGTGGGTCTGCCCTTGGACGTGGTCTCCGACGGCAACGTCGTCAACCACGGCAAGGCCATCGCCGCCGGTCTCCGCGCCCTCGCCCTCCTCGGCGTTGATGGAGTCGAACTCCCCATCTCCTGGGGCGTGGCGATGGACTCCGGCGACTGGTCCTCCTACCTCGCCGTCGCCGCCATGGCGCGCGACGCCGGCCTTCGCCTCCGCGTCTCCCTCCACCTCCACTGCCACCGCCGCCCTCGCCTCCCCCTCCCCAAATCGGTCGACTCCGCCGCCGCTACAGACCCCGACATCCTATTCACTGACCGCGCCGGCCGCCGCCGTGCCGACTGCCTCTCCTTCGCTGTCGACGACCTCCCCGTCCTCGACGGCAGGACCCCGATGGAAGCCTACGAGGAGTTCTTCCGGAGCTTCCGCCTCGCCTTCGCTGACTTCTTTGGTTCCGTCATTACGGTGAGTCAAGCTGCCTCTTTTCTTCGTTTCCTTCCTTATCAGACGCTCAAATACCGATAAAAAAATGGAGTCTTTCTTCCTCAGGATATCACGATCGGTCTCGGGCCAAATGGCGAGCTCCGTTACCCTTCGTTTCCTCCTACTGGAAGCAATCGTTTCACCGGTGTAGGAGAATTCCAGTGTTATGACAAATACATGCTTGCCGATCTCAAACGACACGCGGAGGAAGCCGGCAGCCCATTATGGGGCCTCTCTGGTCCTCACGATGCCCCTGGGTACAACCAGTCTCCGGACTTCGGCAACTTTTTCAAGGACCATGGCGGCTCCTGGGAGACACCCTACGGGCAATTCTTCCTCTCCTGGTACACCGGCAAGCTCCTGTCTCACGGTGACGGCCTGCTCTCGGTCGCGTCAGAAGTATTTGGTGATTTGCCTGTCGCGCTCTCGGCCAAGGTTCCACTTCTGCATTGTTGGCACGACACCCGGTCGCGCCCGTCTCAGCTGACGGCCGGGTTCTATAACACTGACGGCAGAGACGGGTACGATGATGTGGCTAAGATCTTCGCGAAGCATTCCTGCACCATGATCATCCCGGGCATGGACCTCACGGACGGGGAGCAGCCTCAGGGTGTCCGGTCCTGCCCGCAGTCACTACTATCTCAGGTAATGGGGACGTGCAAGAGGCATGGGGTGAAGGTCGCCGGCGAGAACTCTTCCCTCGTCCGGGTCGGCACCGCTGGCTTTACTAAGATCAAGGAGAATGTTTTAGCTGAGAAATCGACGTTGGATTCGTTCACTTATCATAGGATGGGTGCTGAGTTCTTCTCTCCGGATCACTGGCCGCTGTTTACCGAGTTCATCAGGAGCATGGCGCAGCCGGAGATGGAGAAAGATGATATCCCCAGCAACTTGGAAAGGTTGTCACTCTCTATCAATTCAGTTCCTGGGAATGACCGAGAGCTGCAGTCAGCATAAGAATCCCACCTTATGGAAGCGAGCAGTGCAAGAATCCTATCGTATTAATGTGTCTATTGGCTGTCAAAAGTGACTAATGGCAGCAGAAGAGATATCCAGGTCTTTTGAGCTGTAGAATGAATCTTCACTTCTGTTAGAGGGAAGAAGCATTCCTCATAAGGATTTGCCGAACGTATGAATTGAAATATTCTTGAATTAAATTCATATTAATATTCTCGTTCATCTCTGTCTTTACCTCTATGTTTGATTCCTATTGCACGCCTGACACTTCATCGCTTCTTCGAGATTAGTCCTAATGATTCATGCGTTCCAGCCATGGTTGCTGTGGTGATACAGGCATTCAAAACATGGCAGTTCTTTTCTCTCTAGTTTTTGGCTAGGGGGTCTCTCAAGTATCGTCTTTTAGACACCAAATCCACATGATCATTCTCATATCACAGGCAAAGAACATCAAGTTTGTGGTCACATCTCTTCATCTTCTATTACATTCTTATCTGAGTTCCTCATTCTCTCAAGGTTACCAACTTTAGGAATTCAAAAATATCTGTCAACCCTAATAATAAGTAGAATATTTTGAGTGCTCTTAACATTTTTTTCCTTTAAATAGAAATATTTTATATACTTAAATTCGTTTTTCTCCAAAAATATCAACAATACATTATTTTATACCATTTTTCATTCGATTATTCTTTTTAAGAGCTGAGGTATCTTGCCTTCTTAACTCGATTGAGGGATAAAACACTATGTAGCTAATCATTTTTGCAATGTTTGAATAATTTTTTACCTCTTATTTGGAGATATCATCTCACATTAAACCAACGAAAGTTCTCTAAGTTAGTGAGAAAGCACAAAGTCATTATATGTATATATTATTTTCCTATCAAAGCCTATGCATAAGGTTTTAATCAAGTTTGATCATTAATTTAATTTAACAAAATTGATCCGATATTTATAAAAGTATCATGTTTGAAAGAGAGAAATCCTTCACTATCTGGGATTAGAGGACAGATCCCTCCCAAAAACGAAAATTTTTTGTATCTCGTATTTATTTCACTATTTCGATTCAGGGTAAAAGATATTTGTATGTATTATCCCACGATTTGCAATACGCTCTTTGTTGTCTTTGATAATTGAGTATGTTTAGTAGATATTGATTAAATTTTATATTTAGAGTTTTAATTGGCCAAAAATAACTAATACTTTAGATGTATCACCAAAGATGCACTTTTAACTGTATTTCTGTCCTTAGTGAATGCATAATATACAAATAAAATAATTTAAGTTACATTAAACACAACCATAACGATACGAGATACTATGAAAAATATTAGGTGGTTTAAATATCTTTTTGTTCTAGATGGATGCATCATGCATCATATGCTTTAGATATCTTTTTGTTATGGGCGAATAAATTATACATAAACAAGATATCAAGTAAATATGTCATTTGAGATGATTTAGTTTACTTGTTTTTTTATGTTAAGTTGACATACATCGAAATAAGATTTATTACGTTAAGATGGATATATCATATAAATAAAAGATACATTTCATATTTCATATAATTTTTTTTTTGCTCTGGATGAATACATCATTATACTTTGAGATACGTCGGGTGCCATCGACACAAAGATATTTTATTATACTTTAAGATATATCGGGTGCCACTGGTACAAAGATATTTTACGTATCTTTAGATCATGTTTTGATTGAGAGTTTATACTTTAGAAAATAACTTTTTTTTTTCTTCGAAGAAATAGGGCGTAGACTTTTGGTCCCATTATCCATGAAAAGAGAAAACAAAAAGAACTAACACCTTAAACAATGACACCAAATCGATCACGGTCAATCAATTAACTCAAATGCGTAGTTTCTCTGTAATTTCCGTTCCTTTGTGCAGAGTGGACGGCGTTGACTGGGTTTCGATGCATCCAATTCATTGACTTGACCAATTTATTCTTTTGATTGACCTCCAAATCATCCTCTCTCAAGATATATCCTTTGGATCAGGAGACCGTTCGATCATCGCACGAATATTACAGTATGTGACGCATACCCTCCTCCATTCCTCGTTTTGAATCCCCAAATAGTGAAATAGACGCGTATGTCGACGCGGTTTTCCGGTTTTCTAAATATAAAGCGCGATCGTCTCCGATTGGCCTCGCGGCCCAAAACGAAGGGAGGATTAGGTAGGTGAGGAAGTGGAGGGGAGGGAGGGAGGGAGGGAGCGAGGCGCGGCAGGGGAGGAATCGATCGATGGGCGGGTGCTTCTCCGACGTGAGGGGCGGTCAACAGGCGGTCGGCTCCGGGGGGCCTGCCGCCGGGGCGTCGCCGCAGGAACTCAACGACGCGGTGGGATACTTCCTCCACTCCCGCGGCCTTCGCGGCCTCTTCACCACCCTCGAGGTGAGATGTCACCTCCGGAACTCTAGCCTCGCCGAACCCTAGGCTTTGATTCGTTTTCTTGGATCTTGAGCCGACCTTCCTCGTCCCGATTTTACTCCCGGTGCCTTCGCAGCCTCCTCACCACCCTCGAGGTCAGAATCCACCCTTGAAATCCTAGGCTTCGATTCGTTTTCTTGGATCTTGACCCGACCCTCATTGCGCCGACTCTACCCCCGGGGGTCGTCGAAGGTGAGAAACCACCTCTTAAATTCTGACCTCGCCAAACCCTAGGATTCGATTCGTTTTCTTGCATCTTGACCCGACCCTCGTCGTGCCGATTCTACACGAAACCCTTGCTAAAGATCGGATCCCATGGAGGTGGGGCCTTCGTTCGGTTTATATCATTTTCTTTCTTTTGGGGTGAGAGGCAAGCGGCTTTTCACTGTGATGGAAATTCTTGAACTCACAGTGTGTTCTGACATTGAAATTGTGATTGATGGTCCGAGTACTTGTCTCTTGGGAACTTTCAATTAGGTTAATAAATTAACCTTTTATCCACTCTTCGTTTGGGGAAAGAAATAGCAAGATTAAGGTTTGAAGAACCTGCTGGAATTAACCTCAAGTATTGGCAGACAGTATAAACGCCATGGATTCTTATACCTACAGAATGTACCAGCAGCAATATACACTGAGACAAGTTGCAGCAAGCCTGAGCATTCAAATCATTTGTATTGGCTAAAAAATGGTCTATCCAACGTGCGTGATTGAAAAGTAGGTTTGGATGGTCTGAAGGACATCTTCGACTTAGATGATAATGGTGGACCATAGGTGAAATCTGACTCTTAGTCAAATAAGGCTAGTGCATAAATGATAAGCAGGCAAAACTGGAAAGATGAAGCCGTTGGTACTTATGTAGATTTTAAATGGGTAATTGCTTTAGGCATGGATAAATTTCAGACTATTGGCATCTCAAAAATTAATTTAAGCTATGAATGGAAAATTTTTTATTCTGCCAACTATGATAAAGGCATTAGGAAATTCTAACAAAAACCTCAGGGTTTGATTTATATGTTGTTTCATGATAAACATGATTATCAAATTAAAACTTAAAAGTAATCTAGGAACATAATGTGCTAAAGATTAAGTGCCAGATCATTGAGTCTCTTGTGCTTGGTACATTTCAGAGTAGGAGCTTCTCTTGAGGCCAGGACTTCTCTTTTCCTATTTAGAAGTTATAGTTGTTGATGTATTCAATAAGAATTCATGAGAGGAAATTAATTTTGGATGTAATGGAGAGTTTAAGTTTTGTATTTTTCATCTGCTAGGTTGATGCTTACTTACGTTAAAAGAGAAAAAAAAAATCAAGGGTCATATTTGAATTAAACCAACAAGGAGTTTTATTTGGAGATTCACCAAAAACTTTAACTTGGAATGTTTGTAGAGAAGTATATGTAAGAATGTGATTATTAATTTTATCATTGAAAGATATTCCATAAAAGGAAGGACGTGTTCAAGGGACTTATGACCAATATAGGATGTAGAGAAGGTTAGGATGTGCACAACCTTACTCTATGCATATAATCTATTTTTGACTACAAAACATATGCAACACCATACCAAAAAGAAAAAGGTGATGGGGTACGGGGGCTACATAAAAATAAAAGATTTATGCTTAGTAAATAAGAGATCATGGAATTCATTATATTAGTGGCGTGATGAATTGCTTTTATCAAATGATTTAATATATAAATATTTGTTACAAATCCTTTCCAAGTGGTAAATTATGACTAGCAAGAGATTCTCAGCCTCTACCCTAATTGTTACAAAGATGATGATGATGGGGAGATCCTACGGAATGTATGTGAAACTTTGCTAATTGAAGTTGTATGAACCATTATTGGTGCTTGGTTAGATTAATAAATACCTGTTGGTACATACCAGTTTGATTGTATTTTAATTATGGTTTTGATTATGTTATTTTATTTACCTTGTTTTGGGGTAACAGAAGCACTTTTTGACTAGGGCATTTTTGAATCTACATTTGTGTTCCAACATTGATATTGTAATTAATTGTATGAGTATTCATTGAGAGGGGACCTTAAAATAAGGTTCGCTATACCGTAGCATACCGTTTGGTTTGGGCGGTATGCACTTGTTCAATAGGGGACCGGTACATGCGATATATACTAGTTTATTGGTATACCCTTTCATACCATATGTTGTATATTAGTACGGTTCAGTACGTATTGTACCAATGGTTGGTCAGTACATCGGTACAGACTAGTAAGGCAAACAATACGTTAAATTATGTTGTTTAATCCTCAATCGTGTTTTCATTTTTCATTCTATAATTGAGAAAACAAAAAATAAATAGGAAATAATAAAAAAGAACTTGGTTGTTCTCCCTGTTTCAGTTACCTTCTGGAGTTATTCTTGACAATTGGTTGAGAAGATTTACTCATATTTATATTAGAGATAGAACTGTCATGCTTTTGCCCCTTACCAACAGATAAAATTATTGTGGATTTTCTGTACCAGGTTGTTGATTCATCCATGATTCATTTTATAGTTTTTTTTCCTCTGTGACCATCTCTTTTTAGCTTTCCACAATTATATGAAATTAGTGGCACTGACATGAATTGCTTAAAGTAGTTGCGTAACATGAAAGGTGAACTGGGAGCTGATCTGGGAGCTCTTATAATGGATAAATACACTGCAATCAGCCATATGATAGTTATGATATATGTGTTGTCAATGTTTACAACCTTCGGCTGCTGTCAGTTCTGGCTGCGGCTTAACTGGTCTACATATACATATCAATACTGCCTAGCAAGAGA